CGTGGGGGCCCCTGGAGAAGTGATCTGAGGGGTCGCAGCAGGGACTCTGCCCTGCCACCCTCCAGGCAGGGCTCGTGGGTCTTGGCCTCGGGCCTCGGGGGACACATCTCCCTCTTGGGGCCATCTGCTGTCCCGCAGTTTCTGCTGCTCTGTGGAAGGCTGGTTCTACGTGTCCCTAGAGAGGTCCCCAGGGCCCCCCAAAGGGAATTTCTCGTGTGCCACATGACCAACAGGGTAAATCAGACAACCTCAAGTGACATCTCCAAATGTGGTAACACTTTGTTTTCCTAAGATGCAGATATAAACCACAACGTAACGATACACATGAATTCACTCAAGACAAAATTAGAATCATCATGGGTGTTCTTTTTATAGTCTGCTTTTTTTTTTTTTTTTAAACAACACCGTGCATCATGAATGTTTTTTCCTTTCTTAAGCTTGACCTCTCCTTCCTGCAGGCCGTGTGGCCCGGGCTGGCCGAAGTGGCACAGCCTACTCCTTGGTGGCCCCAGACGAAGTCCCCTACCTGTTGGACCTGCACCTGTTCTTGGGCCGTGCTCTCACCCTCGCCCGCCCCCAGGAGGAGCCCTCAGGTAAGCAGAGGCTGGGCTGGGGCTGAGGGCGCAGCTCCAAAGGGGGCTGAGCCCTCTCCTGGCTTTAGGAGGAGGTGGGTGGATTTGACCCGGGGAAAAGACCCCTGTATTTTAAACTCAGGATTTCACATAACAATCCAGAATTCGGGTGTCTCCTGGGAAACAGTCGGATCTGGCCGGGCCAAGCCTGCCCTTCCCTGGGTTACTCTTAAGGCAGTGCTAAGCTGTGGCACCCCGGTGGGTGGGCCCTACCTGCCTGCTCCTCCTGTCTGCAGCCTGTCCAGCCCCTGCAGGCACCTGATTTGAGACCTTGCACTTGGCCGAGTTTTTAGGGGAGCCCCAGGGCAGAGAGAGAGAGAGACTGAGTATTCGTCCACTCTGGGCTCACAGAGGGTTCCTTTTTGCACTCCAGGGTGGGAATACGTGGGGCAGGGGACAGCAGTCCCGATTGCTTGTGTCCACGGGCCTCCGCTGTGGGCCTCCACCATGGGCTGCTGCGTGCTGAGCACCCGGCGCACCTTGTCTCATTGGTCCACTGGTGGTAGAGGAAGGGCTGTTGTCGCCTGCGCTTCACAGACGAGGGAGAGGGCTCAGAGAGGCCCAGCGCGGGCCACACAGCAGGGAGGTGGGGAGGCTGAGATCAGGTCTGCCCAGAGCTCCGAGAGCCAGCGTGGCCTCCTCGAGATTACACGGCCGGTGGTCAGTGAGGGGCACGGCCAGCCCAGCCACCTCGGAGGCCTGGGTCCCCTCCCCCTCGGCTGTCTACTCTTGGCTGCCAGTAGCATTCACTGTCCAGGCTGTGGCTCCCTAAGGTGACCGAGTGGCCCCAGGGTCCCAGCCCGGGCACCCCTATGCCTGGAGGCAGTTTGAAAGCAGACCGTGCGGCAGGAGCAGTCTGGGGCTAGACGTGAGGGCACGGGAGGGGGCTGAGCGTAGTGAGGAGCGGTTCGTGTGGGTCACTGGAGGTGGAGGCCTCAGACTGCCCTGAGGGTCGGCTGGAAGTGGGGGCTTGAAGAGCGAGTTCGAGGGGCTTCCCTGGGGGCAAAGGAGAGAGCGCTCGGGCCAAATGGGGGACAGGGGCGTGCCAGGAGGGCCCTGTCCCAACCCCAGGTGTGGGGTGACAGGAAGTGGACCCCGTGCCCAGGGCCCGCTCCGGGCCAGAGGCGGCAGCTGCGCTGAGCGTGCGTCCTGCAGCGTGAGCGGGTAACGTGGCTGGGGAACATTGTTCACGGAAACAGGCCCCGGCCCACGGGCTGGTGTGTTCTAGTGTTTGGCTGTAGCATCTGCCCAGTAAGTGACGGCTTCTTTTGCAGTGATCGTTTGTAGCTGTTCTCCTGTCGTTGAGAGGCCAGGATGGGACCCGGGGTCGGGCAAGGTTGGGCTATGGGCAGGTGGGCCGGCGGGGAGGCCTCTGACTGCGCACCGTGTGGGGCGCAGGTTCGGTCGGCGTGGATGGCGTGCTGGGCCGGGTGCCGCAGAGCGTGGTGGACGAGGAGGACAGCGGCCTGCAGAGCACCCTGGAGCAGTCGCTGGAGCTGCGGGGCCTGGGCCGCGTGGCCAACAACGCCCAGCAGCAGTATGTGCGCTCGCGGCCGGCGCCCTCGCCCGCGTCCATCAAGAGGGCCAAGGAGCTGGACCTGGCGGGGCTGGGCCTGCACCCCCTCTTCAGTGAGTCCCAGTGCGGGGGCAGGGGGTGTTGGGGGGGCGGGCCCTGCAGAGCCGTGCCCCGGCCTCACATCCGCCCGCCCCCAGGCTCACGCTTCGAGGAGGACGAGCTGCAGCGGCTGAGGCTGGTGGCCAACATCAGGAACTACCGCTCGCGGGCGGTGAGTGGGGGCCGGGTGGGGCCACGCTCTGAGCTCTGGGTCAGTGACAGCCTAGAGATGGCAGCTGGCAGGCTGCGGTCCCACAGGGGCCACCGTGGTTCTGGGACTCGCATTGCACTCCCATCCCTGCTGGGGATTTTCTTGGGAGCTTGCGGTTTCTTAACCTGTGCTCGTGGCTTCGGCAGCATCTCCAGAGATGCCCTGTTTTCTGGAACCTTCCCTGCTGGTCCGTGGCAGGTCCAATGGGACAGCCATTCCCTGCACTTACAGATGGCTCACCGAGGGACGTGACATTCCCGTGGCCTGTTAGAGGCCTGAGGAGCTGGACTTCCAGAAGTTTCTTACCTCTGTCCCACCTCTTGTCTCCCACTGGGCACCCCATCTTGCATGTGGGAGGGGTGCACAAAAGCAAGGGGAGACCTGCTCAGGAACGGGTGAGCCTGCCAGTCAGCTAGGAGCAAGACAAAGGAGTGGGAGAGTGTTGAGCGCTGGTTTCAGAGCCAAATAGACTGGGGTTGATACGCTCGGGCTTTTCCTAGCTGTGTGACTTTGGGCAGATTACTCGCCCTCTCTGGGTCTCTCTTTCTATCTGAAGTGCAGATAACCAGAGTGCCCAGCTTGGACAGTAGAGAAGACTTGGGGAGGAGTGGCCATTAGAGAGCCCACCACGTGGGAGGGTGGTTGGGGTGGGAGGCCAGTGGGCAGAGGACTTGGGTGTCCCCTCGACAGACCATCTTTGAGATCAACGCCTCCAGCCGGGACCTGAGCAGCCAGGTGATGCGTGCCAAGCGGCAAAAGGACCACAAGGCCATCACCAGATTCCAGCAGGGGCGACAGGAGGGTCTGGTGGGCCCAGCCCCGAGCCGTCCGGCACTGCAGGAGGAGCAGCCTGAAGAGGAGGAGGAGGAGGAAGGAGAGAATGTGGAGGTACAGGCCCCACCCTGGGGACCCTGGACCTAAGATGTGGGGGGGGTGGGTGGCTTAAGTCCTAGCAGCCCGTGGACTGTCCTCAGGGCTTTGGGTGGTGGATGAGAGTGGATGCGGTGACTCAGCCCCAGCGTCCCGCCTGCAGAACGGGGGCATGGAACTTGCCCACCGTCCCTCCTCTAAAGCCCTGGGGCTGATGAGTTTTGGGATTCGGGCTCTTTAGCGTGCGGACACTGTGTGTGACACACCCTCAGTGGGGACTGGGGCGTCACGAGCCATCAAACACATCAGGGTTCTGCAGCCAGATGTGCAGGTCTCCAGACCGAGGGGCTAGACTGGGTAGCCTCCCGTTGGCTGAGGCGGGTTTTGCCATCAGGTGAATTTCGGGAAAGTTCGTTTCCAGGGTGCGTGTATGGGGGCACTGCAGCCAGGTGGCTGTGCCACCTGCCCCCCGGCCCGCTGCGCAGACGCAGTGCCCAGTGTGTGACGGAGTCCCACGGGTGCCTGGCAGCGTTAGCTGTGTCATTGTCGGTGCCAGCCTGAGATTGGGGCAGGCAGAAGGGGCAGAGGAGGGATTGTTGGCAGCGGCCAGGGCATGACACAGGCAGTGTCAGACCCTGGGCCTCTGTGCCAGGAGGCAGGGCTGGACGACCATGAAGCGTCCCATCCACCTAGTAGGTGAGTCCTGGGCCTGCGTGTCCACCAGTGTGTCCCTCTCTTGTGTTTCATTTGGGCAGAGGGTTTAGTAGCCAGAAAGCCTCGTTGAAGACTACTATAGCGAAGGCCAGGCCACGAGGGGCAGGGCCTTGCCTCAGTCACACAGCTAGGGGCACTGAGGTGGCACTGTTACAGAACGCGGGTCTCACCCTGGTCGGCACCTTGCCCCCCACCCGTCTGTCCTGCCTCTGCTGGTCCTTGAGGCAGGGGCTGCGCTGTGTGTGCCGGTGCCTAGGAAGCGCCGCTGTGGCTGGGCTGGTGGGTGGAGAGGCCAGGTGGGCTCTCCTCCCCGGGGACTGCAGGCGCGACTCTGGGCCTTGGTCTGCCAGGACGTCTTCACAGAGGTCTTGGGCAGGAAGCGGCAGCAGCCAGGACCCAACAGGAGAGCCAAGAGGCGGAGGGAGGAGGCCCAGCAGCGGGACCAGGAGTTCTATGTCCCCTACCGGCCCAAGGACTTCGACAGCGAGCGGGGGTGAGTGGCCGGCTGGGTTCTGGGTAGGGCAAGTGGGGCCTACCGGGCCCCCCATTAACCCAGTCGTATCTCCTCACCGTCCGTCTGCAGCCTGAGCGTCGGCGGTGATGGGGGGACCTTCGAGCAGCAGGTGGCTGGCGCCGTCCTGGACCTGATGGGGGACGAAGGACAGAACCTGACCAGGGGCCGGCAGCAGCTCAAGTGGTGAGTGAGCAAGTGAGCGCACCGCCGCCCTTCCACTGCCTGCCCAGCAGGCGGGTGGCCCCCCAGCCTCCCTCGCGTGTGAGACACACAGCAGGGTAATGCCCTGCCTGTCCTGGCCCCTTGATTTGATCTTGACCCTGTCTGTCCTTTTTGGCGGTAGGTCTTGCTAGACAGGGCTCATGACCCAGTTTGCTCATGAGGACTCTGGAGTCCAGAGAAATGATGGGACTGATGAACCCAGGGTCACAGAGCCAGCAAGGGGCAGGGATTAGAAACCCTGCAAGAGGCCTTTGTCCCCGAGCCATGGTCCCAACCCCCTGACCCCACTCTCCCTTCTGAGGCCTGGACTGCCAGGGAAAGGTGAGGACGGACAGGAAACAGACCTTTATTGAGCACCACCTGCATGCCAGACATGCACTTTAATACTCCAACAACCCAGTGAGGTCAGGTGAGGAAACAGGCCCCCAGAGGCACTAGGCCACCTCCCTCCTCAGCAGCCCTCCTAACTCCCTCTCCTGCAGGGACCGGAAGAAGAAGCGGTTTGTGGGACAGTCAGGACAGGAGGACAAGAAGAAGATCAAGACTGAGAGCGGCCGATACATCAGCAGCTCCTACAAGCGTGACCTGTATCCGGAGGGGCGGGGCCGAGCGGCTTCAGCAGCTGCAGCTCCAATAAGTGGGACTTGAGTCTGTTGGGGGCGGGGCCTGGGAGGGGCGGGGCCTAGCGGGTTGAGCAGCTGCGGCTCCAATAAGTGGGACTTGAGTCTGTTGGGGGCGGGGCCTGGAAGGGGCGGGGCCGAGCGGCTTGAGCAGCAACAGCCCTAATAAGAGGGACCTGAGTCTGCCGGGAGGGCGGGGCCGGGAGGGCGGGGCCGAGAGGCTTCGGGGCTGCTCTATAAGTGGGACCTGGAGCAGCTTGGGCGGGAGGGGGCGGAGCCTGCCTTCGGCCCCCGGGCTTCGCGACTCCACACGCAGCTTCCTTAACGCGGCTTCCCAGCTACCAAAAGTGGAAACAGAAACAGAAAATTGATGACCGTGACTCGGAGGAGGAAGGGGCATCTGATAGGAGAGGCCCAGGACGAAGAGGCGGGAAGCGAGGCCGCGGCCACGGTGAGAGCCAGGGTGGGGAGTGTGGGTGTGCAGGTGGGCAGGGCAGGCGCGGTCGGTCGGGTTAGAGAACAGCCGAGGTGGAGGGGTGCGGGGCTGTCGTGCAGCCCTAGACCTGGGTCTATTGGGGTGGACAGTGTCGGAGCCCTGGGTCCCTCACATGCACACACACAGGTTCCCCCTTCCCCTGTCCCTCAGTGGACTTAGCCTGGCCTCTGATGGTCACTAGCGCCACCTGACAGGCACTGGGCGGCTCCGAGCCTCAGGTGTGCGGCCCCGACCTCTCCCACTTCACAGGTGGGATAACTTTTGGTAGACGACCAGTTCACCTAATGCAGCTGGTTGCCCAAAAGCCTGGGGAACGCGTGAGGGGGAACCTCGTGCCGGCGCTGCTATTGGCCATTTCTCGCCTGCCAGGTGGCAGTGGCACGTGGTTCAGCCTGGCAGGAAGTGAGCATGGAAGGGTTCGCTGTGGACAAGCTCAGGGTGTGTTTTTTTTAGCAAGGCCGTAAGGAAGTTCGTGCTGCACAAGCTGGCAGTGAGAGGGCAGCCCTGGCTCAAGGAGGAGGTGATCGCTGGGGAGACTGAGGAACGATTTTCCTCAAAGTGCAGCCTCCCCAGCTCACACCCTTTCACCTGCTCTGAAGGGAGGGGACCAAAGCTGGGCCCCCTTCAGCCCTGCCACTGCCCTCCACTGCAAGCTTGCTGTCAGGGAGGGGCTCCCACTTGCTGGGTGGGGACAGGCTCTGTCCTGGACATGCCATACATGACCTGGGAGGCATTTTACAGGCAGGGAAACCGAGGTGGCTCACGAGGGCAGTGACTGAATCTGGGTCACCCAGCTGCCTAGCACATCCCACCTGGGGCCTTCCCTGGGGAGAGGGGAGTTTGGGACCACGTCCTGGGCTGTCTTGGGCTGCCCCTGCTTCTTCCCGCCCCCCGGCGCTGGTCACTGCCTCTGCTGTGTCTCTCTGAGTCTGTGTCCTTTAGCCAGCGGCCTGTTCTTTGTGACTTCCTTCTGCCGTCCTCTGCCAGTTCTGTCCTCAGTGGACGTGTCTCCTTGTCAGCATCGTTTCTTCCCTCTGTCTCTTCTGTTCCTCCCTCTCTATGTCTTTTCCCCTTTCTGGGTCTCTCTTTCCATCTCTGACTCTGGGTCCCTGTCCCTCTCTCATCTTTTATCCGTTTCCCTCTTGGTGCCTCTTTCTGTCCCAGTGTCTCTTTCCGTGGGTGTGTCCCCACCCCCCACCTCTCTGACTCCTCACTCGTCAGCCCCCGTTTCTACCTGGGTGAAACAGCACTACTGTGGGCAGAAGCAGGCGTTCTCCCCTGTGCTCTCTTCCCGTTGGAGGCAATGGGTCCCTGGCAGGTTTCTGGCTCCAGTGGAGATATTTGGGGTGGCCTCAGTGATCAGCTGCCTGGGAGCCCGGAGTAGGACTATGACACAGGGTTTAGTGGGACCAAGGAGGCCAAAAGAACAGGCTGCCCTGACACCTGCTTGTCTGGCTGGGACAGAGCTGTTTTTCTGCTGTGTGTCCTCGGACACGTCCCTTCCCCTCTGTGGCCTCCTGTTTCCTCTAGAGCCTGCAGTCCATGTAGGCAGAGGTCTGTCTTGGTCACTGCTGGGGCCCCAGCGCCTGGCATTTAGTAGGTGCTCGATATACATTTGTTGGATAATTTTTAATAGTAATAGTTAAGAGGCTCTTACTAAGGACCAGCCTGTATTCTGAGCACTTCACATGTAACCTCCTTTACTCTTCATGAGGACCCATGAGGTAGGTGTGTTATTCATAATTCAGATGGGGAAACTGAGGTCCAGAGAGGTTGAGTGACATGCCTGAAATCTAAGGAGTCACAGCTGGGGTTTGAACCCCAGCACTTCTGGCCTGAGGTTCCATGCTATTGACCACGACAGTAGATGCCCTAGACCTTTATTAGCCACCTACTGTATACAGATGCTGGGGGGAGAGACAGGGAGAACCACTGAGCCCACACCCCACAGGAAACGCAGGATCCCTCCTTCCCCGTGGCTCACCTGTGTGAGGGCAGGGGAATAGTCTAGGCACTTCTGGGAAGAGGCAATGTTAGGAGCTGCCCCCCAGGCTAAGTTCCCGGAATCCCTCTCTCAGCAGGTGCGTCCCAGCCCCCCACCCCTGCAGGCCGCGTGCGCTCAGAGCTCAAGACCAAACAACAGATCTTGAAGCAGCGGCGAAGGACCCAGAAGCTGCGATTCCTGCAGCGTGGAGGCCTCAAGCAGCTCTCAGCCCGCAACCGCCGCCGTGTCCAGGAGCTGCGGCAGGGTGCCTTCGGCCGGGGCGCCCCCTCCAAGAAGGGCAAGATGAGGAAGAGGATGTAAGGACCAGGACTCACTCTACAGCACCTTGCTCGGCCATCGTGTGGACAGCAGCAGATGTTTCCTGCACACTGCTGTGTGCGTGGCACCAGGGCAGCTCCTTGCAGAAGCCGTCGTCTATGAAAAGGAGTGCTGTATGGCCACAGAAGGTCAGCAGCTGCCTCTGCCTAGGACAGAGACATTGGAGCAGGGTCGCGAAGGGTGTGTAGGAGTTCGCCAGCAAAGCCAGGCAGGCCAAGACCTGAGTTGGCAACTCAGCTGCTGCTGCTTCCATGTGTTCTGGGTTCAGAGGTCACGGCTGCACAGGCCTGAGCCCTGAGTGCCTCAGGGTCCAGTAATGGAGTTTTTTATGGAATAAATCTTTATTGAGCACTTCTGGTGGCCCAGGAGTGTAGAAGCTACTTAGGGAGTCAGGAGGGGGAGACCCAGGTACTAAAAGCTCAACTAGGTGGCTGAGTCGTGCCACCCAGGAGCCCCGGAGGGGGGGGGGTCTGCTCGTCTCCCTTTCGCAGGTGAGGAAAATGAGGCTCGGAGCACAGAGTTGCACGGGGCACACGCCCTGCAGCTGCTGGGGCCACCCTTGGCCGCCTCAGAGCCTCAAGCAGAAGGTGGGAGCGAGAGGGCGGGGGACAGGACAGGTCCTGACCTCGAGCTGGATTCTCGAGGTGGGCCCCGCGCCCAGCAGCGTCCACGGTGGAGGGAGCCCCTAGAGATTTCTCCGGGTGCCCCGCCTGCGGGTCCCATTGCTTTCACTTACCAAACACCAGACTTCACCCTGTCCTAAGCACCTGGCAAATCCCAGCTTGTTTAAGGCCCCCCACTGCCCTGGGAGGGAAAGCCTAGTCTGGTCCCACTTTATAGGTGGCTGCCCCCCACGTCGCCCCTGGTCCTTACCATCACCTCATCAGGGCTTGCATTTATTGAGTGCCTGCTGTGTGCCCCTCATAAAAGCCCCATGGCAACGTGTCGGCACAGCCCTCCCATCTTTCTGATGAGGAAACTGGGATTCAGGGAGAACCACAGCCCACACCCCACAGGAAACGTGGGACCCCTCCTCCCCCATGGCTCACCTGCATCAGGGCGAGGCGGCTGGGGCCGCAGGCTTGGCATGACCGAGGCTGGCCAGCATGGCAGAGACTTCCTGGATGAACAGCTTCACCTGGGGGACCCCACCAGCCAAGTCACGTCCCGGTCCCTGAGTCCCTGTCCAGCCCCCACCCTCAACACGGGAGTTCCCAGAGGCAGCGACAGATCCTGAACTGTTACGGGTTTTGAAAGCCCCAGGCCAGGCCTCCGAGCTGATTAGCAGACCCCTTCACTGTGTGCTAGATGCTGTCACCTGCATTATGCAATTAGTATTTTCATTGACATTTTCTTTTAATTGGATCAGTGGTATTCACTGTTTTGTGACCGTCCCATCCTCTCCTTGGTGGGGGGGAGGCCTCCTTTTAGTTTTAACCTATTTGTTGGCATGAACTTAATGCCACAGATCCAACGCCAAGAACTAGAACTTGAGGGGGAACTTAAAACTATTAATATCTGTGGGCTCCCCCTCACATTTGTCACTTACATGAACATCTGAGAGGGAAACGTCATATCTCCACCAAAAATGGAAATGAAGTTACCCCTTTTCATAAGTTGGGGTGACTGGAAAAATAATACAATGAAGCCATTACTAAGGACCCGGGAGTATGGTAGGAGGGGTTAAAGGCATGGTACCCCTCCACTGAGACTTTCTCCTTGGCGGGATCAGAGAGTTGACAGGAAAGTGACTGACTTTTGCCTGTCCACACAGAGCCTGCGTCCCTGCTAGAGTCATCCTGTGTGCCTGCCGCAGTTACCTGGGCCACACGTGAGACAACAGTGGCGTCAATGAATGCAGCCAACTGGGAGGTGGCAAAGGCAGGCCCGGGTGACCCAGTTCTTGGCGTTTGGTTGGAATTGCGGGCATTGGGCACAGGACAGGACTGGGGATGGGTCGGGGGTAAGATAGGGTGTCTCCCTTTCCTTTCCCTCCACCTCTCAAAGGGGCCATGTCCTGGGGACCCATTAGAACCCTAACAGAAGTGTCTGGAGTCTGAAACCTCCTCCCCTCTATTTTATATCACATGTTCTACAACCTTATAAATCTGAACAAATAGAAAAAACAGGCTGGGCATGGTGGCTCCTGCCTGTAATCCTAGTGCTCCGGGAGGCCGCTTGAGCTCAGGAGTTTGACACCAGCCTGAGCAAGAGCAAGAGACCCCCATCTCTACTAAAAATAGAAAAATTAGTTGGGCATCGTGGCACATGCCTGTAGTCCCAGCTACTCAGGAGGCTGAGGCAGGAGGATCACTTGAGCTCAGGAGTTTGAGGTTGCTGTGAGCTAGGATGATGCCACTGCACTCTACCCAGGGCAACAGAACGAGACTGTGTCCAAAAAAAAAACAAAAAAGAAAAAGAAAAACCAGGTGTATTTGGGGCAAAGTGTGACATTTGGTGGCACCATTGTGCAGAAAGACCACTGCCCAATCCTGCCCAACCTCACCCTCACCCTCCTGGAGGAGGCTGAGGCCTGCCCCTGCAGGGATCAGGAGTTGGAGGGTCAGGGGTTAATCAGCAGAGTCTTAACCTCCTAGTTTCTTACAGATTTTGCCACTTGTTTGTGCTGTTTGATTCTGGGAGAAAAGAGGGACTCTGGGCATAAACCCTGGCCTTCCTGCTCAAGAGAGCACCCTGAGACCCAGAGAGGGGTATGTCTTTCCTCTGGCCACACAGCAGGTCACTATCACAGCCCAGATGAACCAAGGACTCCCAGGTGGTAGCGATCTAACCCTAACTCTAACCATAAGGGGCCAAAGTTTAACCCAGAGAAGGGGTCGCTAATGGTGGGATTTTAAGCACCTGCTTCTGAAGAGGGAGTGTTTGGGGGTTGGAGGTGACATAAAGGGGGGGGCCTCACCTGCTCCAGCTGCCCCTCCGTGTCCCCAACGTCCAGGACGGGCGGCTGCTTCCGATGCTGGCACACCAACTGGAACAGGTTGAGCACCGACATGCTGGCGCGCCCCAGGAGCAGGGTCTTCGCAGCCGCTGTGTTCTGGATCTGAATCCACTTGGATTCCTGGAGAACACCGGCCCCCTCCGGATTAAGGCGGGAAGTGGCCCGAAGAGGACTGGGCCTCTTCCCACCCACTGCTCCGGGTCTGGGGCAGTTGGGCGCTCCGGAGGAGAGGGCTCCGGGAGCCGCGCGCCGGCCGAAATCCGCTGCCTGAGACCCGCCCTCCATCAGTGCAGCCGCGCTCTGGGCTAAGCGATGCCCCGGCTGTCCTCAGCAGCCCCGGCACCCCTCCCAGCCCGGCCGTGGGAGCCTGGGGTCCCGGGCGCCCTCTTGCCCCCGGGCGGGCCGCACCCCCTGCAGCTTGCGCTCCCGCGCCGCCTCCAGGCGCTCCTGCAGCTGCGCTCGCCGCCGGCCCAGCGCGAGCAGCTCGTCCTGCCCCGCGTCCCGCAGCCGCTGCAGCCGCGCCCGCGCCGCCTCCAGCTCGGCCAGCCGCCCGCGCTCCGCCAGCCTCAGCGCCGCCCGCGTGTCCGCCAGGCCGTCGAAGCGCGCCACCAGCTCGGGGACCTCCTGGAACTGGGGGCGGGGGGTGGAGGGGGACGCACAGGGGCCTGCAGTGCCCTCCGCTCCCACCCAAGCTGCCCCGCCGACGCTCCTCCCGCGCCGCCTCAGTTAGCCCGACGGTGAAAGGAGGGCGGCACGCAGCCCCGGAAGTGGGGACCGCTGGAGCCACGGGACCTGGGACTCGAGCTCTATTCCCACCTCTCTCCACCATCAGACCTAGCCTAGCTTCATCACCTGTGATTCATACTGATGCATTGATCCAACCAGTATTTGTTGAGTGTCTGGATCCTTCCCCACAAACACCTGGCTAAGTCTGTGACCTCGAGTAAGAGCTTTCTGAATTCTGTTTCCCCATCTGTCAAGCGGTGTTGACAATAACAGGACCCACTTCTCTCCACTGTGTGCGTGTGTGTGTGTGTGGCCGGGGGGGACTCAAGAACAAAGTGGCATACAGGAAGCGCTCAGTATGTGCTGGTTCTTGGCATACAGTCAGCGCTCCAGTAGTGCGTCCATCCTAAGCCATCCCCAAGGCCGCCCGGGGCCGCACGGTGGTGCCGAGCCCCGGCCTCCTGTCCCGGGCTCACCTCGGGCAGCTGCTCCAGCGCTTGTCCCAGCAGGCGCGCGCAGGGCTCCCGGCGCCCCAGCCGGCGTTGCAGCCGCGCGCGCTCCCCGCGCAGCTCCTGGAGCTGGGCCCGCAGCCGCAGGGCCTCCGCCTCCAGGCGGCCCGCCTGGTGCCGCTCCTCCGCCGCCCTCCGCAGCGCGCGGCTGCGCCGGGCCTCGGCGTCCTGGGGAGCGAAGGTGGGGAGGAGGCGACACGCAGGACTCGGCACCTCCACCCGCCCTCGCATTCTCACGCAGAGCCACGGGCGGCCAACAGACGGTCGGCGGGCCAAATGCGGCAAGGATCTCAGATTTTGGGCCCTTCCTCCTCCCCTGTCCCTTTTTAAAACTAAAATACTTCGGGCAGGGCGCGTTTACTTCCCACCGCCCCCTTTTGTATTACTAAACCCACCTGTTTGATTTATGTGACCCACCTGGCCCCTACAGGCCTGTGAGTTGGACCCGCCTCCCGCCTCCCCCAGCAGTCTCCGCCTCACCTGCAAGAACTTGTCAAAACGGACAACGGACCCCTTGAGCTCCTGCTCCTTCTGTTCCAGCTGTTCCCAGCGCCGTTTCAGGGCTGCCATCTTGGTGTGGAACACCTGGGGGTGAGAAGTGGAGTGCCTGTGTTTGGGGGCTCAAGGCATCCAATGCCCCCGGCTTCACAACTAACCCCTCCGTCCATTGTCCTGGGGCTGCGGCCCTGCTCAAACCGCTCATGGCTCCCATGGCCCAGGGATGAAGCCCAGACGCCCTCCTGTAGGCCCTGAAGGCCAGTGTCCCTGTCCTTCCTTGTTTCCCACCTCATCTTACCCTCTCTCCTCCTGGGCTGTCTTCTGGCTACCTGACTCCCTGTTTTGTCCTTGCCTTCCAGTCTTTGCATATGATTTCCCTTCCATCCCATCCTCCTTTGCTGGATAAGCCCACTTGCTCTTCAGCAGTCCCCAAGATGCCACTTCCTCCAGGAAGCCCTCCTTGACCACCCCCATGTGGAGGTAGGGGCTTCCTCTGGGCTCCCACAGTCCCTGCCCAGTGCTGCTCCCCCACAGCAGTGACCCCATGGGCACTTGTCTGTTTTCCTGTCTGGACTGTGTGCGTGCCCCCCCCAAAGGCAGGGACCACGGCGAGCCCTCCAGGTCTCAATGCAGTGCCCAGCACATAGTTGGTGCTCAATGCACCGAGATGTATTTGCACCAACAACTGGTCTCACCTGATCCCCGTTGGACAGATGAGGAAATCAAAGCTCCCCCTAGTGAAATGACTTGTCTCAGACTTTGTCGCTAATAAGTTGTCTCTATCACTTCCCATCCCTCTGCTCACCACTGCTGTTTGTCTGGGATCCCGGAAAGTTGGCGGCCACCCAGGGCTCTCACCTCCTTCTGGGCCCGCAGGTCCCGGTCTGCGTCTGCCAGCTCCTGCCTCTTCTCCAGGAGACGCAGCACCGGCGGGAAATGGTCCGCATTCTGCTCTGGTGTCTTCCTGAAGGGACTCAAGGGGGAGTGACGGAAGCCAGAGCCAGGCCCAGGAGCTCCCCGCTGCGCCGGGAGTGCCCCATTAGCCACCTGCTGGCTGCAGAGTTCTTTGCTCAGTCAGTAAATGGTCCTGAGCACCGCTGTGTGCCAGGCGCTGTTCTGGGCACCGCAGGTGCAGCCGTGCCTGGGACAGACGACAATCCCTGCCCCCACGAGCTGGCATTCTGCCAGGGGCCACAGCAACTCAAACTAATAACTATTAACGCCAGGACATGGCAGGCGTCAAGATGAAAAATTAAGCAGCCTAGAGGAATCTTTCAACGGGGAGTTGGAAAGTTTCTCTGAGGAGGAGCATTTCAGCAGAGACCTGGAAGAGGAGAGGGAGCCAGCCACAGGGGTATCTCCAGGGAACAGAGTCGGGGCCAAGGGAACAGCCACCGCGAAGCCCCCAGGGAAGAGCCTGGGCGTGAAGGAGGCCGGTGCGGCTGGAGAGGAGGGAGGGAGGACAACAGACAGCGCGCGACACCAAGGGTGGGCTAGGGGGTCCGCCAGAGATAGTGGGATTCTCTTTTTTTCCTTAGTTTGAATCTGGATTTCAAGATGACGGGATTCTGCTCGAGGTGGCAGCGGTGGGGAGGTGAGAGCAGAGCTGACGAGCGGTGAGGGGGTGAGAAAGGAATCAGACGGGCCCCCACAGCTGGGGGGTGCAGGAGGGGAAGTGGGGGAACCAGCTCCCTGTCACAGCCAAGCCCAGACACAGCACTCGCCGAGCTCAGAGCAAGCGTCCTCTGCTCTTCCTCAAAATGCAGTTTGGGGCGGTGCCGGGCGGGGCAACACGGCCCAGAATAATCCTTCCCACCTGGGTTTGAATGATTTACTCTCAGCTGGATGTCAGCTGGGGGTGGGGAGCCCCAGCAGGTTAGAGACCTGGGCTATGATTGGCCTAGCTCTGCCCTAACGAGCCCCGAGCCCCCGGAGAAGTCACTATCGCTCTCCGAGCCTCAGTTTCTTCCTCTGTAAAGTGGGGGCAATAATCCCCCCACCGTGAACTGCCCAGAGAAGCCAGACCCCGGGCAGTGAGTGAGAAGGGAAGGGCCATCCCACCCATTCCCACCCTCCTGGCAGCCCTCCCTGCCTCCGCGCCACGTCCCACTCACGTGGGCAGTTTCTCTTGCAAGGCCAGTCGGGCATACTCCTCCCAGGGCACCGCCATCCTCCGGGCACTTGCTAGAGTTTTGCACAAGCCTAGGAGGCCCCGGGGTGCTGACGGAGGGTGGTGCGGAAGCGTGCTCAGCACTCTAGCAGCGGCGGAGCAGGCCCTGGTTGCCCGGGCAACCAACGACACAACATTCCATTGCCTGGCTGCGGCCTGGGGAATCCACCCTTCCTGGGAGGGAGCAGCCGCCGCCCCTCCCGGAGGAGCCTTTAACTCCAGATCTAAACTGGGGTGCCAGAATTTGCCTCTATGGGTGCCCCACGTCTGGCCACGCCATTTCCTGGCTGGGCGGGATTCCGCCTCCCTGAAGTGGCTGCGTGCTCAGCCACCCGCTCAAAAGAGCAATTATTGTGCACCCACTATTTACCAGGCGCTGGGTGGAGGCATTCTCTCCAGGGAAAGGTGATGACGGCCTACTGTGTCCCAACCCCGCGAGGCTCCACTCCTTCTGCTGGTGATGGGGCCACCCCGGCCACGTCTCATGAGCCCTCAGCCTGCTTAGGGAGAGAAACAGAGACCATGATTACTACCCAGGGGAGACCAGCTTGGGAAGGTCTGATGTTCTGCACATGAGGGATGGGAGTAGGGGAGAAGCTGACACAGTTTAAGCAATTACTGTGGATCAGACAACATGCTAGACACTCTACACCTGCATATAGTGTCTCATTTAATCCTTAAAACAGCCCTGCAGGTGGTGGTACTAGGGGAAAGTACCCAGAGTAATGTAAAAATTAGCTATGGATGCCAGGTGCCATGGCGCGCTCCTGTAGTTCCAGCTACTCGGGAGGCTGAGGCAGGACGATCACTTGAGCCCAGGAGTTCAAATCCAGCCTGGGCAACATAGCAACCCCTATCTCAAAAAGAAAAAATACCCCAGTGGGTCCTCCAACTGGAAGCTACAAACACTAGCACCTTATCTTTCATTTTATTTTCCATTTTAAGTAATTTTTTTCCATTCAAAGAAACATATTTTCTTATCGTAGAGTAATGCTGTTTTAAAAATCTATACTCACTTGTAATGCCTACATTGCTTAAAATGACTCCTAAGGATTTTGCTAGAGCATATTTTTAAAAATAGAACTAAAATAAGGTACATTTTTGTCTTTCAGCATTTTGCATTAAATTGTACATATTGTTTTTCTGCATATATTGATGTGAATTTACAATCAGATTTATGATCTCATTTATTCTATTTTTTAAAAATTTAAATCTTTTTTTTAGAGACAAGGTCTCACTCAGGCTGGAGTGCAGTGGCACCATCACAGCTCACTGCAGCCTCGAACTTGTGACTCAAACCATCCTCCTGCCTCAGCCTCCCGGGTAGCTGGGACTACAGGCAAGCACCACCATGCCCGGCTAATTTTTCCATTTTTGGTAGAGACCGGGTCTTGCTCATGTTCAGGCTGGTCTTGAACTCCTAGAACTCAAGCAATCCTCCCGCCTCAATCTCCCAAAGAGCTAGGATTACAGGCATGAGCCACCACACCTGACCATTAATTCTATTGCTTTCGAGGTGGCTTTTGCAAACATTTCCTGAGTATCTACGCTATGCCAAGTGCTGTGCTAGATACGCGGATACAGTGGTGGACGAGACAAAACCTGCCCTCACGGAGGCCAAAGGAGAAGCCAGAGGAATCAAATAACCCTGCAAATACATGAAGAGGGTTAGGAGGAGAGGTCTAGAGAGCAAGGAGGTGGGACAGGGAGGTCTTCATGAGAAAGCAGTGTGAGCCCACATCCGAAGGATGAGGAGGGTTGAGTAGAGGAGGGGAAGAGTGTTCCAGGTAGAGAGAACAGCACGTGCAAAGGCCCTGAGGCAGGAGGGTGTGGCCCCTCCTAGAAGAGAGCAACCATTGGTCTGGTCATAAGTTGGTGTGCAGAATTCAAGGATGATGGTTAAGTCACGGCTGGATAGGGCCAAGGAGGGGCCAGATCTGTGCTACAAGTGACAGACAGGAAACCGAGGCCCAGGGGAGTTCAACGACTCCTCTGAGGACTGACATTTGTTTTTATAGAGATCACTCAACCCATCCCTGCTCTGGAACTGCTCATGGCTTGAAGGAGAGGAGAAACTCCCCACACAAACACTTGTCTTCAGCAGGCCAGCCAATCCACCCCAGGCCTCAGCACTGCCCTCTGTTAAATGGGGTGCTGCTCCCAAGTCCTCCTGCGAGGCAGGCGTCCCGGTTTCCCACCAGCTCAGCCTCCTTTCTGCTCTGTCCCTACCTCCTGGATGCTGAGTGACAGCAGGACACAACTTCTCAGCTGACCTTGCCCTTGGTAACAAACAACAAGCTCTGGAAACACCCCCCACCCCCCATCTCATGCTTCCCTTCCTCGGCCTCCCCCTTCCTACTCCTCCATTCCAAGGCGGGGTGTGGGGTCACTTTGGAGAGCAGGGCTGAGGAAGGAGGAAGTGGGGGTGCCGGCTGGGAGACAGACACCTTGTTTTCAGGCCCCAGGAGGAGGGGACTTGGGGCCCTGCTTCCTCGACAGCCAGCCTGCGGGAGGGGTTTGGAAATCCTGCCCACTCCTCCCACCGCTGCCTCCTGTCCCACGTGGCTCCCTGCCCAGAATCGTGCCCGGCAATCACAAACGGGGCTTTGTGTTCCCTTGACAAAGAACGCATGCCTCACCCCCAGCCTGGCCCTTGTCTGCCTCACCCGGGTCTTGGCCTCGGCAGGGATGGTGCCACTCGCCAGGAGGGGACACAGGTCTGGGGACGGACAGGGCGGCCTCCTGGTTTGGGGCGGAGGTGTTCAGACAGGTGGCAAACTGGCACTGATCGAGCCGCCATCCTAGGCACAGAGGGGAGAGAGGAGGGAAGAACTAACGACTATTATCACGACCAGAGAGGCCCGATTCCAGCCCCCGAGAGGAAGTGGATTCTATTTAACCCGGCAAGTGTGTTTTGAGTCTTTTGCGCCAAGCAGTGTGGGAGGCGGCATGAATCAGACATTGTCCCTGACATTTAGGAGATAAGACGAGTAGGTAGATCACCACGAAACAAGGGAACAAGAGAACAAGGTCACAGAGCGGTGCCTACGGGGAATTGGGGCTGGTGGGAGGGCACTGCTGTCTCCCTACCGCTCCAGGAGGGCTTCCGGGAGGCTGCGTGCAGAGCTAGGAAGGAAGGCCAGCAGTGCTTTGGAAAGCAGAAGCAGCACAAATTGTGTTCTGATTATAAAGGAAGCACACGCCATGATGTGTAAGAAAGTCCTCCAGCCCCAGCTGTGTCCCCTCCCTGACTTATCATCTTCACATCACTTCTACTCTCTGAGTATATATTATTATTTTTATTTTTTTAGAGACAGAGTCCGCTCTGTCGCCCAGGCTGGAGTGTCAGTGGCCTGATCATAGCTCACTGCAGCCTGGAACTCCTCCCTGGGCTCGAGCGATCCTCCCGCCTCAGCCTCCTGAGTAGCTGGGACTACAGGAGTGCGCCACCACGCCTGGCTAATTTTTGATTTTTTGTACAGACAGGGTCTCACTATGGTGCCCAGGCTGGTGTTGAACTCCTGGTGTTAAGCGATCCTCCCACCTCGGCCTCCCAAAGTGCTGAGATTACAGGCGTGAGCCACCAAGGTTGGCCCACATTTGTTAAATAATAAAAAAGAATATTATATAGGCATCCATATTTCATGGCATTAGAATCATACTGCATATATGGGTGTATGTATGGTTTCCCGCCACCACTATGTTGTTTAGTATTTTCCTGTCGTTAAATCTTCTTGGAGAACATTCTTTTTAACAGCCGTATAGTATCCCATGGCATTGACGTTGCATCGATAACTGTACTTTATTTCACCCCACCCTTCGTCATCTTTGTTCAGCTGTATCAGGAGGACATACATAAGTGAGTAGGGAGAAAAAGGGGTGGGTTTGCCAATTTCCATGGTGTAAATTATTCTACCCTAGTCAATTTCAAGTTCCCACGCTTGATGTCACTGAACAGCATGTGCAGGGGAGGTCTCACCGGCAGGCTCCAGCACACCCTGCCCAAGCTCAGGCTGGTCCCTGCTCTGGGATGAGGGGCCCTCCCCACTCCACGGCTGTGAGCCCTCCCTGGGCCCCAGGCCCAGCATCTCAGGGGAAGGGGGCACTCAGCCCTGGGCATTGGGGCGGCAGGAGCCCTGATCTGGGAATCTCTCTATCAGATTTCTCATCCAGGATGAAATTCCCCGGATTCCGCCAGCTCAGCAATCTGGAACTGCCCTGGCCACTGAGGTGTGCTCTTCCTCCATCCCTGGAACTTGGGGCTGGGCCTGGCGCTCCACCCTGGGACCCAGCCTCAGAGCTGAGCCATAAATGGGGCTCAGTGTCAGCCACAGGGGTGGGCCCAGGATGTCCCACAATGGCCATGACACTTATTGAGTGCTTGCTGTATGCCATGCTATGCTAAAGGTCTGGTGTTTATTTTTTTCCAGACTTGCATGTATCGTATGAGATGGGTCTATTATTAGCCCCAATTTAGAGATGAGGAAACTGAGGCACCGAGAGAATAACTCACTTGCCCAAGAACAACTGGCTTATAAGTTTTGGTGCCAGGGTTCAATCCCAGGTCAGCCTGATTCTGAAACTTGTGCTCCTACACCCTGAGCTCAGCATTTCCTCCCACTTAAGCCTTTATGAAGCACCTGCTGTGTGCATTCCATGGTGCTAGAGTATGTAGGGAATATGTAGAGTATATATGTTGGCAAGAAGATGATCAGGGGGTTGCCTTTAAGGAGCTTAGGGGGAGGGAGCTGACCATTTCTTTTTTTTTCTTGAGGCAGAGTCTCGCTCTGTTGCCCGGGCTAGAGTGCCATGGCGTCAGCCTAGCTCACAGCAACCTCAAACTCCTGGGCTTAAGCGATCCTCCTGCCTCAGCCTCCCGAGTAGCTGGGACTACAGGCATG